AGAAGTGAGTTTGGTTTTTGGTTGATTTAATAAATAAAATTGATTGATTTAATAAGTAAAATAGAGCCTCATTTTCCTTTTAACTTTTATGTTTTTGATAGGTATTGAGGAAATCAATTATTGTACTTGGTTTCTGCCTTGCTGGGCTACCTCTATTTTAATTCAAGTTTTTTGTGTTAATGAACAATGTTGTTCTAACAGAATATTTCTTTTATCAATCTCAGCCTGGTTGACAAGTATACTTACTATATCTATTGCCCTAGGTATTCTAGTGAAGCTTTATCCTCAGTATAATGTACATAAAAATATGACTACTCCACACTAACAAGTGACTTGTTGGGAATTGCAAATGTATAAATTGGCAAAAGATTAAGTTACAAATCAATATTTACTGCCCCACTGCTATGTGTTGGGCACTATATTAGGTGTATGGGAAATTAGATATGTGCAAGGTAAGATTTTTACCACTATAAGACACAAGACCTTGAAAAGTTATTGAGTACTTAAAGTAACAGTTCAAAAGAATATTAGAGGTGATGTGTAAGGCAATACATGAGTACCTGACATATAAACTGGAAAATTGTATCTGTTTGGAAGCTCAGAGAAGGAGGAAATCTCAACATTCTGCTGTGTCATGTGAAGTCCATGTTCTCTGAATTTTTTAGTTGGTATTGTCATAATTAAGGAGCTTTAGTTTTCTTATAGAAATAATTCAATAGCTCATTTTGATTTTTTTTCACTTTTTTGTTTATCTCATCAAAGGATATTGATAATAACAATAGTAACAGCTAACATTTCTCAGTAATCTATCATGTGCAGGCAGTGTGCTGTGCACATTGGTTGGTAGTTTAGAGAACTAGGCTAGGTGGTGGTGCTTATGTTCAAATTTCAGCATATGTATTATGAAGACTAGTCTCTGCACAGCACAAATGGTTAAGCACTTGACTACTAAATGAAAGCTTGTTGGTTTGAACATACCCAGAGATACCTTGGAAGACAGGTCTAACGACCTGCTTCCAAAAGGCCACAGACTTGAAAACCCTGTGAGGTGCAGTTCTACACTGCACCAAATGTGTTCCCATGAGTTGGAACTGACTTGATCGCAATTTATTATTATTATTTTTACTGTTACTATTGTAAGAGCCCTGGTGGCATAGCAATTGGTGGTTCTACCTCACCTATTGCTCCGCAGGAGAAAGATGTAGCAATCTGTGTCTGTACAGATTTACAGCCTTGGAAACCCTATAGGGAAGTTCTACTCTGTTCTATAGGATCACTGTGAGTTGGAATCAATTTGACAGCAGTTGGCTTGGTTTTTTGTTTTGATTGCTGTTAATTGTCAAGGAACTGATTCCAGAGTACAGAGACATTCCATAGGGTTTTCAAGGCTGTTGTCTCTCAGGAACAGATCACCAGGCCTGCCTTCTTCTGAGGCGCCTCTGGGTGGATTTGAACTGCCAAACTTTTGGCCAGCAGTCAAACACTTAATCATTTGTATCATCCAGGACTCCTTGGTTCTATTAGGAAGACTAAAATTGGAGAGGGTTGGTTGTTGTTTTTGTTATGTGCCGTCAAGTTGGACCGACTCATAGCGACCCCTCCTTGAGTTTCCGAGGCAGTATCACTACAGAAGTAAGGGAAAATAACAGAATATCTTCCTTCTTTCTTTCAGCCCAAAGATGTTAACATATCCCAGTCCTCACATATCCCAGTCTGCTACTGTCACAAATCGTTTTAAGTTCATGCTTTCTATTATTGCCTCCATGGAAGGAAGACTGGGCAATCTACTTCTGTAAAGATTTACCATGTTGGACACCAAAGGGTGTCACTATGAGTTGGAATTGAATCAATGGCAGTGAGTTTGGTTTTGTTTACTATTGCCTCTGTCTGGAATGACCACTGTATTTTCCCTGCCATCTTGTGCCTCAAGTCTCATGTCTGTTTGTTGGGTATCTTTTAAATGTCTTCTGTTACCTCAAAAATCCATGTTTCAAAGATATGACTATGTATTTTCTTTTAAAAAGTTTATTCTTTTGATGCTTCCTATGTATCTGTGGGATTTTGGCTCTTCCCCTATCTCATGACCTCCATACCTGTGGTCATCTTTGAATCTTCTCGCACTACAGACAACAATCCTGATGATCTTTCCTTGATGGTGTTTCTTATATCTATGTCTTGAAATCTCATCTCTTTCTTCTATTTCACTAATGTCCCATTCTAATTCTCTCCTAGTTAATTTCCTTATCTGGCCTCAATCTAGTCTACCCACTACAGCTAAGTTAATTATATACACACACACACCACACATACATATATATATATATGGTTCTTCATTTCCTTTTTTTCCCCCCCAGAACTGTAAGACAGATGGAGATACAGATAGCTCAGAGAGCTTCCAGTCTCTCTCAACCCCAGAAGTCAATCATCATTTGAATGACCTCTGTTTTGGAATGTTCCTGAAGGAAGGGAAGACAACAAGTGTAAAACATATTGTTATGGACTACTTGAAACCCTTTCTGCTATTCACTATAACTGGAAAGATAAAACCAAATTCTATAACATTGGAAAGATAAAACCAAATGTCTCAGTATTTCCTTCTGTTAATGAAGGAATTTGCTCCACTCAAGCTTTTCTTTAGCTTCCAATTCACTGAGGCTTGAATTAATACTTACTGCTGAAGTTATTTCCCAACCTCTCCCTCCCACACACACTAGAGCAAGATATCCCATCCAGTTGCCATCAAGTCGCTTCCGACTCTATTTATTATTTTAATTTAAGATTAACTCAAATCTTTTTTGCTTTAAAGCTAGAATTATATTTTCTAAAGGCAATTGGATGACTCTGAAAGTACCGTAAATTACTGGTTTCTGGGTGAGTGGTAGCCTTTAAACATAATACTTATATAAGAATTATCTGGTGATCTCTCTTCTGCTTTTGTTCATATTAAATTTTTAGAGCTCTGTTGACATGCCAAATATCTCAGAGAGTAACCCTGGATAAGGGCAGCAGATAGTTTTGTATCCCTAGTTAGCTTTGTTAGCTGTGTTTATGAGTTGATAAGAAGGCTCTGGACTTGATGTTTATGATAGTGTCATGTAGATGGTCCCAGGTGAATGAAATGAGCAAACAAAGTCTATATATACGACTATTAATCTCATCAAAATAATATTTGGCCCAATTATAGCCCCCATTCTACTTCTGGTTTGTCTTTGTCCCAATAATTCTGATTTCTATTCTTATGCAATGGTCCATTTCCTCAATATTGTGAGTCATTTGTTAGACAAAGCTAATGGATTTCAATAAAACTGTTGCTTTAACATTTTCTGAGAACTCTTGATAGAGGTTATGTATATGGTAATTATTTGCTTGTGAACTAAATAGGTGTTTTGTTATGTAGTTATCATATACAGACTTGTCCTCACTGCTACTTCAACTTCTGAATCATTTTCTGATTCTCAAACTGACTTTCTAATCCTAGAGTGCCATATGCAATTTGTAAAGTGAGAAGATTAAATCCTGAATTTACCTGTATTTTTGCTTTTTATATATTATTGCTTGAGGAACTAAGCCATTGTCACCAAATTGGTTAAACCATGACAATAAGATTCTTTCTGTTCAAACTGAACATTTTCTTCATTCTGATGAAGCTTTATTTCCAGCTATAAGTGAATGCAAGCTATGTACTTCACAGAGGCATTCAGAGGTGTACTTCTTTTTGTGGATTGAGTTGGGGGACCAGCAAATACAGAAGTTCTTGATTCCAGAATCAAACTTTTCATTGTTGGAAACTCCCAGAATACCCTGACTGTGTACATTACTTTAGGTCTATTAGGGTACTAACCACTCTGGAGTTCTACCCTTATTAATTTATTTTTTTTACTTTGAAAACTTTATACTGAGTGATTTCAACCTGCCTCCTTTGTACCATTGTCAATGTAAATAAAAAACCAGTGCTGGGTGCATAAAGCCCTTCTTCCTTCCCCCACCCTCCATGTCAACAGAACTATGCCATTCTGTAAGACCATTGACAGTGTCCACCTATGTCCTGCACTCCATCTACTCCTCATGATCTGGAGAAGGAAAGCTAAGGTTGAATGTAAGTCTCATAATACCAGCAGGACTTTATGTCCATTATTCTGATGTATTTACAAATCTCTCCTTTTTCTGGATATTACATAGCACCAATATAAAAATCATGAAGAACGCTACAATAGGCAATGATATCCCATGATATCTCAGTGACATTCTGAAAGTTGCCTTGACCTTAAATATCTCCTCAGCAATTTTGACAAACCAGTTAAAGTATTTCCTACATTTACATGGCATTTCACAGATTACAAAGACCTTTCCCTAGCTTCATCTCATTTAATCTACATATAACTGTAATGGGTTAGTAGAATAATTTTTTTAAAAAATAAAAAATGATGACATGGGCTCAGAGATGTTGAGTGACTTACAGAAGGCCATACTGTATGTGGTAGACCATTTTCCTCTAAATCTAGAATCCTTTCACAGTATCAAACAGTTAATATACATGGTAACAAATAACACATTTGGAGACAGCTATAACTTTAAGAGGATAAAATTTTATTATGCATGTGGAGATAAAGCTCAAAATGCAAATATTCCCCTGAGAGTAGAAAAGCATTAACAATTGAGTGAAAAAAAATCAGTTATTATATATTCAAAATCTGGGGCTATAAACTTTATTTAAGGCTAATGTTGAAGATTCCTTCCAGTGGGTTTCAAAGACTAAGAGTAGTGAAGATACAAAAAGTGCAAGAGGTCACAGGCAATGCCTTTGCTCAATGAGGAAGTTTAACATGAACATAATTATTAAGAGGGAGACTATACAGGCCTCAATTACCTAGCTGATGCTCATTGTTGCAGATAGTTCTCATTTGGATTTTAAACATTTGCTTCAAAATATAGTTGGTGCTTAAGATGATATAGGTGTGGGGGCGTCTGAGCCAGCTACAAGTGAAGGCATCTGTATTGACTCAAAATGTCAGGATCGTACGGATACTGAAATAGAAGAAGAAAAGGTATCATTTTAACATTTAAATATTCCATACTCTTCCATGTGAGTCCAAGGAACTCATAGCCACTGCATTCCCATGTCTATGCCTTCAAGTAAAGACAAGTGAAATGGCAAGTCATCTTTTCCTTGTTCTTACGTTTTCTCCAATCTTAAATTCAGTCATCAGTCTGAATATGGCTGCTATTTGACTTCATTTGATATTAGTTTGTGTCCACATCAAAATCATTTTTAAGAATCTGAAAACCTGGCATAATTATAAATACTTTTGATTTGGTTTGGAGTACCTGGCATAATTACAAATACAAAACAACAAATGGTAGTAATAAGTAATATGTTCTTTTTATTTGTCATGTATTTTGTAGATGCTTTTCATGCATTGTCTCATTTAAACCTGAATTTAAATAACACTATGAGGTAGATTCTAATATTTATCGTTTGAGAGATTAAAAAAACTGAGACTTAGAGAGATATGTAACTTGCTCTAGGTCACACATCTTGTAAGGAGTGTTGGGATTCAAACCCAAACACAAAATTGCACAATTGATGAGAGGATAGATGGCTTGCCTGAAGGAATTGATAATTTAATAAAGACCATGTTGAAGGAATAATAGAGATTTAATAAATAGATACTTAGAAAATTCTTGGAAGGAGATAACTCACTGTCATTGAGTCTCTTCTGACTTATCCAACCTCCACTGGCTTTCTGCCCCATCTTCCTTTGGTGGAGTGACTGGTGGATTTGAACCACCAACCTTCTGGTTAGCAGTCAAATGTCTTAGGCACTGTACCAACAGAACTCCTTAAACCAAAAACCCACTGCCATTGAGTAGATTCTAACTCATGGAGATCCCTGTTGGATTTTCAAGGCAGTAAATTTGTACAGATGTAGGAGGAGATAGTAAAGTTGAATTCTAAGAGACTTCATTCTAGGGAAAAGTAGAAATGTGACATTACAGTGGAACTAATGCTCTTTTTAGAAGACATCTTCTGATGGATACTTTTAGGAAAAGATGGTCTTCGTGCCTCATTAAATGTATATGTATTTATATGTATACCTAATAAGAGAAATATATGTAGATAATTTAGAAAATACAGACAATATAAAAAAGTAAAAATAACCTTTAACTTAAAAATCTAGAACTAGACTAAATATTTTCTTAAATTTTTATCAACTTTTTTTCTAGACATATATACAGTTGTTATTGTTCTCGTTCAAAATATGGGATCGTATTATATATACAAGTTTGTATATATTTTGTAACCTAAAATTACATCATGAGAATTTTCCAATATAAAGAAAACATTTTAATGACTGTATTAACTTCTAGTACATAGTTTGAATTTATTGAATTCTTCCCTTATGTGGCGTAGTGCCTAAGGCATTTGACTGCTAATCAGAAGGCTGGTGGTTCAAATTGGTGGTCAAATCAACTTGATAGCAGTGAGTTTGTTTTTAGTTTAGTCCCTTAATGTTGGATTTTCAAGATATCACCAATCTGTGATATTATAGATAACAGATAAGCATGCTTAAACGTATATGCATGTTTGCATATCTGATTTTTTCTGTGGAATAGATTTCCAGAAATGAAATTGCTAGGACAAAGGATTTTAGTTTCTATCTTTCTTTACTTTTTTCAGTATTACTGACACAAATTATCAAATGGCTTTCCAGAAAGGATGTAACAATTAATAATTCTATAAGTAGTATATGAATGTGCCCATGTCTCCTTCCCTTGCCAATACTGAGTATTATCATTTTTAATCTTTGCTTATTTGATAAGCAAGTGTGGGGGCCTAAGAGATACTATTTAAAGATGAAAACCTCATGAGAAGTTTAAGGAAGCCGAAAAGGCAAGGACTTTGAAGATTGTAGGTGGAAATGAAATACAACTGCTGATCATTAGTTGTGTTTCACATACACATGCAGATGACAAAATTTCTATTGTTAGATGACTGAGAAAGTTAAATGTTAAATCTCATTTCTGAGGAAATGAGATTGGCTTATTTTCTTCAACTTTGGAGGAAATGGAAGATTCAAACATTTAAAATAGTATTTTGCACTCTTCCCCTTTATAGTCATTTTATTTGTGAAAAATTCTTTGTAAACTGGAAAACAAAAACTAGTAATGAAATATTTGTAATATTTGTATAGAAAACAGCACCAATGCAGCTCCACCTACTTCCATAGTAAGAGCTTTTGGGTTGTCCTGAATATAATTTAGATTTACAGCTATTTATAGTCAGCCAGGCAGAGGCTGTGGAGGTGCTGTCTGTGCTATAATTATGACTGTATGACTAATTCTTTTTCCTTGCAAGGGTGAGTGTTCTGTAAAGAAGGGTGAGTGACTCTAATCTTTCAGACTCACTGTAATCAACATAATTTGATTTCAGCAGAATTGGAAATGCAAAGCAATTATTCTTAGGTTTTCACTATATGATCTTAAAAATCCTACCCACAAAGATTGAAATGATAATGGAAAACCAAGGTATCTAATATTTTTCTCATCCTTCCATCTTCTCAAAGATGGGTCAAATGTTTGAGTAGAAACGTTTTTGTCTGCTAGCCAACCCCCTATCGTGGAAAAAAAAAAAAACCAACTTAAAATCTACCTTTTTCCAGAGCGAAGAAGATCAAATCCTTCATTTATTTTTTCAAAAGGTAAAACATGGGTTATTATTGCATCCAGTGGAAACTTCTTAGCCATGAACTCAGCCACAAGTTTGGGGACAGAATCTCTACTTTTATAACCTAAAAAGAGAAAAAAAAAATATCATTGTTCAATTCAGAGAAGGGAAGTAGAAGAATTATGGAGGAGAATGTCTAAATAGAATTAAAATGAATGTTTATAAAAAGTGCTGCATTTCACAGACTGCTATTTCTATCACTGGGTTAGTGGGAGGTAAGTGTGCTTTACTATCTTTTTTATAATAGTTTCAATTTTTTTTTTTTTTTTATATTCCCATGCCCTCCCCAGATAAACTAGGGTCTTTAGTTATTAATTCTCTCGTAGAGAAATTATAGTACTGATGATTATACCTAAAGTCATGGAGCAAATTTATCAGCTGTCTAAATGTGGACATGGTGTAGACATGAACTATTGCTATGGATTTCTGGATCTTAGTAGGTGTTTTAGAGTCCTTGGTTGGTGCAGACAGTTAACATGCTTGGCTGCCAACTAAAGGCCCACTCAGAGGTGCCTCAGAAGAATGCCCGGTGATCTAGTTCTGAAAAATTAGCCATTGAAAACCCTTGGACCACAGTTTTGCTCTGACACACATGGGGTCACCATGATCTGGAATCAATTTGAGGGCAATTGGTCTGGTTGGTACTAGGTATTTTAGTGTCATGAAGTCATAAGTATAAAAAACAGTGATACTGAAAGCTCCTTGCTTGTTTATGGGGAAACCAGAAAGATTTTCTGGGAGGATTCTATCTGCATTATTTCTGCATCTAGTTGATTTGGAAAGGAGTCCTGGTGGCATAGTTCTTGGCTGCTAACTGGAAGCTTGGCAGTTTGAACTCACACAGTGCCTTTGTGGAAGAAAGACCTGGCAATCTGCTCCCATAAAGACTACAGGCTAGAAAACCTATGGGGGCAGTTCTATTCTGACACATGGGCTGCTTGAGTTGAAATTGACCTACTGGGCTAACAATAGCAACAACAATTGATTTGGAACCTATAGATACAACAGGAATTTTAATTTCTTTTTAATTGCATTGCTTTTCAAAACCTGACTTTGTCACATGCAAAATAGAACAAATCCCAAAATTATGAGAATTTATTCCTCAACCCTAACTACATACCACCAAAAACTGCTCCTTTCCAAGTGCGTCCAGTCAATAGCAACATAGGGTTCATCTTGAGTTCTTGGGAACCAGGAGGTACCCCTATAAGGACGCTTATACCATATGCCTCTTGACAGCATGACAGGGCTGATATCTGGAATATAATTAATATTTAACATTGTTAACTTGAATTCTCTGATAATCCCCACCCATGATCCATGTAAGAGTTCATGTAATATTGATTTAGTTAGATTATGAAAGAGACTATATCTTTTGCTTTTACATTCCTTGTTGTGTCTTTGCTAGTGCTGTGAATTTATGGAATGCCAAGAAAGTATTTTTGAATAAGAGAATGGATGAAAGAATTTGCATGTACATAATTCTTTCTTATAAAGTGAGAAGGAGGCAAGTATCATTACAGACATAAATTAACTCTAATTCCTCAAATAAGGGTAATGTTTTCTCAACACATGACTGTCAGTCAATCTATAAGTTGATTGATATTTCATTTATTTATTAAGCAGGTACTTTTAGCCAGGTATTTTGATGAAGAAGAAGATACAATGTAAATTACCTTGTCAAAAGTTGTCTCATGTACTCTTGATACTCTGCCGTTTTAATGGATCCTTATTCTACTGTTCATTTCTAACATGGGCATATTTAAATATTGCTTTTACCTCTTGAAAACATGTTGTTTTTACTTTAAACTCCATCTATAACATTATTCTGGAATCTCAAAAGATCATCTCTTAAAGCCTTTCCCCACCAACCAGGTTTGGTAATAAGTTTGGTAGTAAGAAAATGATTTGGTATCCCCCAGGAATATGTAATAATTAGTTCATTGGTTTTAGAGTATGGATATATCCTTAGAACATGTAAATATCATATATTTGATATCCTCAATTAAATTAACAATCCAGTTCCACATGAGAAAATAGGGGAAAAACAATAGAAAAAGAAGGTAAGGACAAAAACTTCAGCTCTGGAAAAAGTTGGGCTGGCTTGGAACTTTAGTTATCTATGTCATATTGTCCCAAGTCAAGACTGCAAACAGCTCAGGGTGCTGTTTCTGATTAGTAGTGCTGCTTGAACTTACTGTAGAACTTCAACAATTGGAATTTGTTGGTCTGAGAACTTCTTCAGTCAAGTTCTAGAGAAGTCTGGTTAGCTGGAATATAGCTGGACATGTGGTCCTTATTGCTATTGTTGATGTTTGTAATTATTCAAAAGCAATATCATGGACATTTCAAAGATAATGGAAGAACTTCAAGATTGAAAAGAGTATTTTATAACAATAATTCCAGTTAACATATATTGAGGGCTTATCACAGCTTGCTAGGTAGTTCTGTGCAAAGTATTTTATATACATTATCTCATGTAATCCACAAACAATGCTTTCATATACATATGCATTACTATCATTATTTGTGGTAAAATCTGTTGAGTTTTTAAAAGATTCAGTTCAACACATAGATATTGGGTACCTATTACATGTCAGGCACTGTGCTGTCTGTTATAAAGGAACATTGTTGTTGTTGTTATGTGTCATTGAATTGGACCCAACTCACAGCGACTCCTCCTTGGGTTTCTGAGATAGTATTACTACAGAAGTAGATTACCCAACAGTCTTTCTGAGGAGTGGCTGGTGGGTTTGAACCACCAGCCTTCTGGTTAGCAGTCAAATGTCTTAGGCACTATGCTACCAGAGCTCCCTAGTGATTTGTTAAATCTGTCACTTTATTTAAGGCCTGTTTTTTTAGTAAAATGATGCTTGGTCTAAAACTGTTCCATGTTCCTTTCGACCAAAGTGTGACGTATGAAAAAAATTGAAATTCATTAGAACATATAAAAAATTGTTAAACTATTTTTGTTAATAAAATGAAGGAAATAAAATTTTCCCAAATTTGAGAATGGAAGTTGTATTTCCTTGAGTTTGAAGAATTTTGTTTAACTAACAATTAATAAGATAAATTTGTAATTGCTCAATCAAATGGAGCTCTGGTGGTGCAGTGCCTAAGGCATTTGACTGCTAACCAGAAGGCTGGTGTTTCAAACCCACCAGCCGCTCTGTGGAAGGAAGACTTGGCAATCTACTTCTGTAAAGACTTATTGCCTCGGAAACCCAATGGGGGTTGCTGTGAGTCGAAATTGACTCAATGGCAGTGAGTTTGGTTTTGTTTGTTAGTTCAATAAAAGCTTCCAAAGGGTAAATATTACTTGAAACAGCTTTATTTAGCTGATGAAATGAAAAACTCCTTATAATAATAAGTAAAACAATCAAATGGAGTCCCTGGGGGATTCAAAATGTTAGCACTCAGCTGCTACCTAAAAGAGGTATTCTTGTCCATCCAAATTAACCCCAGAAGAAAGGTTTATTCAAAATGTAATAATGACTGGGGAGAGTGAAAACTCTATGGAGCAGTTCTACTCTGACACACATGGGGTCATGGTCAGTCAGAGTCAACTTAATGGCAACTAGTTGAGTTGAAAACAGATGAAAAAATGAGTAAAAACTGAGGAAAAATTGCCCTTCGCAAATTAAAAAATATTATTTGCATATAATGTTTATTTTCTGCTGCCTAAAAGTGACTCCAGATTGCAGAAGCACACAGCTCAAGGCATGTCATAGTACATACCATCGTGTCATGCCGACCAACGACTTCAAAGGAAAAGTCCACACCTCCATCACTCATTTCCTTCAAGACCTCGTGGATGGGTTTCTTGAAGTCCTGTGGGCTGATGCACTCAGTGGCCCCCAACTCTTTGGCCTTTGCATATTTGTCTTTGTTGGGATCCACTCCAATGATCTTGGCTGCTCCAGCTGCCTTACAGCCCATGACTACACATAGGCCAACTCCTCCAAGACCAAACACAGCACAGGTGGAACCCTTGGTGACCTGTTCTCAGAAAATGCAGAATGCATTAATTACTGTTGTTTGGAATAGTCTGAGCTGTATAACATGCCAGGCTTTGTGTATTATGAAGAGCTAGTTGGACTCTTATATCCAACCTGCTGGCAAACTTCTTTTTGCTTCAGTTGTCTCATATTTTCATTGAAAGGGTTAAACTAGATCAGTGTTCTCAAATTTTGCTACACATTAGACTCATTTAGGGAGAGTTAAAAATCCCAGTGCCCACAAGCCATAGCACATGGAATCTACTTAGTACTTTTTAAACTTCCCATGTGACTCCAATGGGCAGTCCAGTTTTGGAACTAGTAGACTACATGATCTATGAGCTGTAAATGTCAGTGGCTGTAGTCTTGAAGAGCACCCTCAGTGGCTCAAATCCAGTGATATCCAGCTTCAGTTCATTATATAAAAAGAGTGGCAGTTTTGTGGGAAATAAATAAAAAAGTTATTTCAAAAAACAAAATACCCAGTCAAACCTCAACAACTAGTTTTTTGGTTCAATAAGTTTAAGTAGTGATAGCTAGTATATAGAGAACAGAAATTAGCTCCATCTTCTGCTTTCAAAAAAGACAAATTAACAATGATTTAATAAAAAGTTGGTCTATGTCTTAATAATGAATAAAACTAATTATTATGATTGACCTCAGCTTCTGCCGTGTGCATTTAGACCACCTGCTCAAATAGATGGTACAATTGCACAAGGGACGTTAGTGTTAGAGTCATAGCAATCTTGAAAAGATGTGCTTAAAATGTTAAAATTGACTCTGGACTGTTTAATAAGCCTTGTTTTCTTTAGGCAGCCTTCAGGATAGGTAAAATATACCTCCTGCCTCAAGTAATTTCACTGACTGTTTCTTTTATGGAAACTTACGTACTCACTTGTTCATTCATTAAAGGCTATTAAATACTAAAGATGTACAACATCTTTGCCTACTTTACTGGGAAAAATACAATCTACATGACTGTTATTTAAAAATGCTTGCTTGTAGTTAATTAATGTAATTCAATATTCAGGAAGAGTTTTGAGAAATATATTAGTCTCAGTACTAAGACTAACTAACCATGAGCTTTAAAACAAATGGCTTTACATCTCTGGGCCTCAGTTTTATATAATTATGAAAGTGAAGAGATAATACAAGGTTGTGGTTTACAAATATTTAGGGAAGAGGGATGTGGTGTGGTGTGGTGTGTAGTGATGTCTGTGTGTATTAATGGCAGGAGGAAGAGACATATAGTAAGAGCCTCAAATGGAGTAGAATAAATGCTCTACGGAAGCTTCTTTACTTTCCTCCAGAGAGTTCACAGAGTGCATGAGTTAGTGGAAGTTGTTTGGGAGATGTATCAAGTAAAATTTTGGAATTTACTGTTACTATCAATTCTGGGAGTATGGGATCCATGGACTGGATGCTTCTGAAAGGCAAACCCTTAATTTCAGTTACATTTGCCACCTGAGAACCTAGCAGAACCTAGTGTACCTGATGCATGCAGGGACTCTTCACTTGTGGAATTAAAGACCAAATGAGCTCTCAGCCCTAAAATTTAATAATTCCCGAAAGATCAAATAGAGAAAAATAATTACTGAAAAGGAAATTTTACTTTTTCTTAACTAAGTATCAACAGTTTTTTCACCTGTGATTAAGCAGGTGAATTTTCTAGTATATGTTCTCAATTTCTTCTGAGACCATTTTTCTACCCATAATTGACACCCCAAATTATATGGAGTATATTGGTGCTGTTATGGTAATGGGGAAGTCTATGAGGAATGATCCTTGATTCCTGTGTGAAAATACTTCCCGTTTGATTCCTGACAGTTTGAGTATAATTAGTTTTTTTGTACCTTGGCAACATTGACAGCAGACCCATAACCAGTAGAAAATGCACAGCCAACTAGGCAGACTTTCTCCAGAGGTGAGGCTGGATCAATCTTGACCACTGAGATATCATCCACCACTGTGTACTCAGAGAAGCTGCTGGTATGGAGGAAGTGGTGGATGGGCTTCCCTCTACAGGTGAATCTGGTGGTGCCATCCTGCAAGGTCCCCCGGGGCAAATTCAGACTACACAGTACAACAGAGACAGCAAGCCATGAGCCAGGAGCATAATGGATGTGCAGACTCAGTTACTGTGCAAGGACAGTATCAAAAACTTACTCGTTTTTCAAGCATAAGTTGGCTTCTGGGTGTTTACAAATGGCACAGTTTCCACACTGGGGAGTAAAGAGTGGGATGACTTTATCACCTAGATGGGAATAAAACAAATTCTTAAATTTCTACCCCAGTATTAGTAGAGCAAGGAGCTCTGGTAGTGTAGTGCCTAAGGCACTTGACTATTAACCAGAGGCTGGCAGTTAAAACCCACCAGCCACTCCTCAGAAGGAAAATGGGCAATCTACTTCCGTAGTGAAACTGCCTTGGAAACCCAAGGAGGGGTCGCTATGAGTTGGATCCGACTCGATGGCACATAACAACAACATTAGTAGAGGAAGGGTTCACTCACCAGTATGCCATTGGTCATTGGCTGTCAGCATTGCTTTTACTCTGAGTTTATATGTGCCTGAAGATTTCCAGAGAAGAAATGCAAATGTGGGAAATAACATGGACTTTTAATCATTTCCACTGTGTTAATCATAAGGTGCTCTGGTGATATTACTAAATATTATCATTATCTTTATTGTGGACCAAGATTTCAACTGGGAATTTTACACACATTCTGTCATTTAATTTTTAACTAATTAAACTTAAATGTTCTCATTGTAAGTATAAATATAAGTTTTAGTTGTAAGTGGGCTGCCATAGTTTCACTAGATGTTTTGGACATCTGGCAATTTGCAATAGTTTGAGCTACAATAAAAATAAGAATTTTGATAATCATCACCCTCAGAATTTTTTGATTTTTCAGTCATTATGCTTATTTTTGTTCTAAAGTGAATATCTATTTTTCTTGTTGTTGTTCTTTTTCAAGGAAAACTATCAATACTGAGAAAAAGAAGAATTCTAGAAACTCCTTTGAAAGCTCAATCCTCAGCAATGAGGCAGGTGCTTTCTTGGGGGATAAGAACTGATTTTCCAATGTTTCTACCCAATTATTTACTGTCTGAATTATCTATTTTTCCTCAAAATGGAGGGAGTAACAGTGAAAAGCAAGCATGTCATGTTATTATTAATTTATTTATAACTAAGGGAAATACTAAGAGCTCAAACTCAAACCAGACAACTTATTTTTTTTTTTCTATTCACAGGTCAGTTAAATATTTCATAAAGGGGAGCAGGTGTATCCACTGGCTTAAGTGATTTTTTTAGAATTAAACACAACTTTCATTTTTAATCACTTTTACAACCTATTTCACAAGACCAAGAAAAGTGGTTAAGCTATCATATTTAATTGATAAACTTTATGTGAAAATGATAGCATGGACATTTTTATTGTATTCACTATTTAAGTCTAAAAATATTTACCTACATTAATAAATGATAAA